GGAATTCGACCAAGCCAAATCCACCGAGCCTTATTTGGATTGACCCAACCAGCGTTGTCGTTTGGACAATATGTCTGCTGATTTTGTGTTTTGCCGGAGGCTTAGGAAATTTTATTTTGGCAGCAACTATTTTATTAAAGAAATCATTGCGCATTGGAGCAGGACACCTCATTTCGGCATCACTCTCGGTGATGGCTCTGTTGTGCTCGGTGTCGTTTCCAATGTCCGCCATTTTCATATACGGAAGTCAAATTAATAAGTGGCATGTTCCGCCTGTTGCCTGTATTGCTGACCGACTGATCTTCCAAAGTTTACTGCACGTACGTCAGTAATTTCCTTCAGTTTTATTCAACGTTGACTAGCCAAATTTCTAAGAACTGGACTTTGAGTTTGTGACAAGTATGTCTTAGACTTTTATTTATTGGTTCACCCACCTGTTCTGCATCTACCTGGACGTGGAAACATTGTTAAACACTCGGAGAAAAAATGCGATGTAATTTTAAATTAAAAAATTCTGTGATACAGAATTTTTTAATACAGAATTCTGCAGTTTAAATTCTGTAATGTCCTTTATCGTGCAATTAGGTAAGCACGAATACGGCTAATATCTCAAGGTTTCACAATTTCAGAAAGCTCTTAATGAAAACTAAAATCGACTAATTTTACTGTAAGCATTCCATGATACTAAGGAAACCAATTGTACAGATCCTGAATTGGCTGGACGCCATGATCGCCATCAACCGCTTCGTCGCCCTGTCATTTCCACACCGCTACCATATATTGACAAACATCAAATCCAACAGTTATCAGATGGTCACAGCCATTGTAGCCGGGTGTCTGTTGGCCTTACCTGGCTGCTTCGGCCTAGCTGGTGGATATATAAAAAACGGTTTAGGTGGATGCAGCTACCCGGCATCCGGAAAAATCGGAGACGTTCAACAATCTCTTGGAGTATTCATTCCAATTGCCATAACTATTGTGCTTTACTTCAGTTTATCCCTGAGCCTGCAGATCCGGAAGCGCACCAGTCAGGAGAGACAGGCCGTGGGGTCCTCGAAAGAGCGGGCAGCCACCGCAATCACGAAGATATCGTTTCTCATATTCTTTGTCAACCTGCTGTGCTTTCTGCCTGTCCCGGTTTTCATGGGTATCGCACCGAAAGTCTACTTTGCATCCGTTCCGTTGCAGCTCCTGTCACGGGTGTTGTATCCTGTTGGGTTTCTTTTCATACCGGTATATATAGATCTAGCTAATTTTAAAGAGACTGTAATGCTGATAGTCTGGATATACATATAACTGTGCGGATGAGATTTCTTCTGTAAATTGATCATCATAATGCTACATATTTTATGGGCCACTGGTATGACATTATTTTTGCAGATTTTATTATTCGCTATGAGCAAGGAGTACCGGAGTGGCGTTGCCAGAATGCTTTGTCATGGCAGATTTGGCGCGTCAGTGCAGCCCTCCACAATGGCATCCAGTGCTGCCAAACCTACAGCTTTGAAATCGTTAGGCTGACGTATTAAGGTGATCTTTGCACAAAAAGCCATCCGAATTGATTCACAATTCTACGATAAAATATAAATTTCCACAAAACTGTTTTCGACAAGCACTGTTGCAGCCGTTTGAGAAGCTGCTTTCAGACATGGTTGAAGTTTTAGTGAACGCGTTTGTAATTCGGACATGCCTCACTTATTTGCTTTCACTGCAAAACAGGTAAAAAAGGTTCACCCGTTTTTATTGAAGTTAAGTGGGTTGATGTTTTATGCTTAAAACCTCTTCATAAAGCTTAAAGAACTATTGAAATTTATATTTAGAGTAATTTCCCGGAATTTGCAAAATGAGGTGCCGTTTCACTGCAACATCGGCAGTGGCGAAGAACAATATTCACTACTACGTTTTACGTTAATAAAAGTCACCTAGGGCCAAAAAACACCACTGGACTGAATTGGTTATGATTTGCGGCTTGCCTGACGAGAATACAGGCATTTTTTGGAGCGTGGCACATGGTTAATTACGTAATATTTCTGCAGCCGGTACATAAGTACTGTAATAACAACAGAAAGCAGACGAGAGAAAGATGGAGAATCATCGGTTACTAATTACGATCACATACATCCATCACCTTTAAAAACCTCTAATTAAAACCGTAATGCGCGAAAAGAAACTGAATACAACTCACAGAAACAAGGCGTATCCTTTTTGGTAAACGTGTTCTCGCAAGACATCCACAGGAACTCCCTCACCGGACATGCAGATAATAATAACCGAATCGGAAATTAATTTGAGCATAAAGAATAAGCAGGTTGCGACACTCATAGGCATTCAGATTCAAAATTTTTCGAAGCGCAGTATTTATTTTGCCAAGCAGCCATGACCACCAGAATTCTTAAGGTAAGCGACTGACTGGATATATAAAAAATCACAATGAATGTTTCATCCCTCTACAACAGTGATCTGACCCGCAATTCCACAGGTCCAAAGCCTGGCATCGTGATTTTATTGTTCATTGAGCCAAGGACAGTTTTTGCGTGGACTACCGGTTTGCTTTTACTGTGTTTTGTCGGGGCTGCCGGAAATCTTCTCCTGGTGATCACTATTTTACATAAAAAAAAGCCTTCGAACCGGGGTGGGACTTCTCATTTCGGCATCATTGTTCGTAATGGCTTTAATGTACCTGATACCTTTCTCATTATCAGCCATTTATGTGTACGGCAGCCAGATAAAAAAGTGGGATTTGCCGCCAGCCGCTTGCGTTGCCGAACGATACCTTTTTCAAAGCTTGATACACGTAAGTCCGCACCCAACAGCAAAACGCAGCAAGTTGACAGTAGAAGTTGGTGTTGGTGAAGACAGCGTAAATGTACAGTAGTACATGTTGTAACAATTAGCACCGAAAATTATTATCTGACATCAAGCAAAATTATACCACGTGGCTGAGGTACGGTGACTGATCGACTTTTAAAAGTAGGTTCTTAATTTACTGGATGCCATGGTTGCCATCAATCGTTTCGCTGCCTTGATGTTGCCCCACTGCTACGCATCATTTACCACCAATAAATCCAATAGCTACCAGATAATATTTGCCACCATTTTCGGGTTTTTTCTCGCTTTACCTGGATGCTTCGGATTAGCAGGAGGGTACATCAAAAACTCCCTGGGAGGATGTAGTTATGCGCCTACTGGACCATTTGGAAATGCACAACAATAATAATCACTTGGTGTATTCATTCCCATCGCGGTAACCGTTGTTTCGTACTTTGTCCTGTCTTCTGCGCTGCGAATCAAAAAGCTAGCACAGCAGAATTCGGACATATCCGGCATGTCAACCGAAAGAGCAGCCACCGCCATCACGAAAATGTCCTTCGTCATCTTCTTTGTCAGTCTGCTTTCCTTCCTGCCCATACCGGTAATTCTAGGCGTGGCACCCAAAGTATTCTTTACATCGGTACCACTGCAATTATTCTCACGGGTTTTATTTCCGCTTGGATTTCTTACGGTACCGGTAAGTACATAAAGCATTATGGAATTTTCGTGATTTCCCATTGCGGCGATCAATATGCTTGTTCTCTGTATATATGATTATGAAATGATGGGTTTTACCGTAGGTTTTTCTGTTAATCATGAGTGCAGAATACCGCAGCGCCCTTCACAAATTATTTCGACGGAATTTCCGGACTGGAGTAAATTAGTGGTGTGCTACTAAATAAAACTAAATAAATGCTATTTAATTAGTAAAAGCTTCCCTAAAATTAAATGTGTAGTAAACAGTAAAGTTTTACAAGCAAGATTAGTAAAAGTAAGTAAATATTCAGCTACAATAGTAAATAGTAAGTAAATAGTAAGATTTGGCTTTCGCTAAAAAAAGTTATTTACTAATTCATTTACTAATCGAATTTTTTCGAATAACCAGAAGACTCATTGATGTACTAGGGCAGGTTCATCATTAACGGTGATGCATAGCCTAAAGTTGGTGCCTTAACAGACGGTGGTATGCTGCTCACGTAAACGCAATGTACCGCCGACCCGAAACTGCGGTTACGTAAAGTACTTATAATTATAGGATTTGAAACACTGCAATGCAGCAGCAGCCTGGCAAGCAGATTGTGCAGCATACAGATAGTTGTTCTGTTAGATTCTGCCTTTACACCATAGATTCGCATAAAATACAGTAAGTACATTTTGATTCCTTCATGAAATGCACAAGCGTCCCAAAAATGATAATAACATTAAATTAATAATTAAATTAAATTTATTTAGTATAATTAGTAAGTAATTGGTTGGGAAAAATGGGAATAGTAAGTAATAGTAAGTATTTCAAAAATTTTTGGGTTAATAGTAAGTAAAAGTTTTGGAAGATTAGTAAAATGGTGATAGTAAAATATGCAGGGGGTGAAGTAAAATATGCAATTTAATCTTTTCTTACAGCCGCATGTACGGTATTTTACGACTAGTTGCAGAGTGACGGATAAATGCTATATTATACGTATGCCAGATTTCTTTGATGTGCTTTACAAAGCGATACTAAAATAGACGTACAATACATACAGATGAAGCCACGTTTGAAATTACAGGAAAGCGGTGTTGCATAAGAAATAATATGTACGCAGTTCAAGTTCTGGGGTTGTTTTTTAAATCCTGCTTATATTGTACATTTGAATAGTAATAAAACAACCTATAGTAATTAATAAAACGATTATTTTTTAATCACAATATGAATGCGGCCGTTTGCATCCTGCGGGTCTGCTTGCACTTTGGCGTTTTAACATGTAGCAGGTACTTACTGTTCACATTAGTGTGGAGAATAAACCATGCCATGATGATTAATTTCGGCAGCTAGCCAGAAAGGCAATTAGAAAAACAATCAAAATTAAGGTACGCCGAAATTGATAGGTTGGTTAGCAAAGCTTAATCACGCATTCCCTACGGCTAGTGTGGAATCCGGTGAAACCAAGTGAATGATGAGCATCACACTTTGTCTTCGCAATACAGGTTTCAACAAAAGCTACCAGCTAACATCCGATAAATTTTTTACACTTTTGATCCAACATAGACCGGGAAACAGCAGAACAACCCGCTGCGAATTAGCATGGAAAATAGGGCCTTATTACGATTATTACTCCTGGCAGTCGGTTTACATTTAATATGGAATTTCGCAGCAGGTTTGTCACGAAAAGTCGTATTTGTTGTATTAAAGCAACTAGAGCGGTCTCAACAAGAACGAATCGAAAAAAATTTCAAAGGTAAATGGCTAAGTAGGCAAAAAGTTCGTTTGTCTTTGTAGGGCAAAGTGCTTTGCCTGCATTCGAGGGGCAGCCGGTAAGCGAAGCGGAATGCAACACCTTACCGAGGAACAACTGCTGGAAAGGAATGGCAAATTGCCGCGAATCGTATGCACGGATGACCAAAGTGAATACCAGTGTTAAGGGTCTTGAATGCTACCACAATGCAACAGATCAGGTGGGAAATTCTTTAGCAATCTCGAAGAAAAATTCTATAATTCACAATCGGACCTGGGTAACTAACGAAATTTCGAAACCTTTTGGTATGTTTTACAGGAAGTTTTGGACACAGCCACAAGCATTTCCCGTGCAAACCCAAACCGAGCAGTCAGAGTGTTTTACAGCGAAGTGTTCGATTCTTTCAAACTGTCTCCTGAAACTGTCGATCCCATTAAGAAACAAGTCATTGAGTTGTATCTGATGAACTGTAAAGACCAGTCAACAACATACCGCATTGGCGCACTACCCTTATCGAACCTTTTGTACTTACAAATCTCCAGCTGCAAGGACGGTTTGGTGGTCAAAAAAAGCGACTTTGCGCCCTTCACACATCTGAGAAGCCTGGACTTCTTCCTGACATCCATCGCGTCCATCGAGCCTGATACGTTTAAGAATCTTCCCGAACTAAGGTCGCTCGCGTTGGAGAACCGGCTTGGTGCGAATGCCTTACGGGGAAGTAATGCTTCAGATTCGGATTTAAATGTAGCGGCCGTCCGCAAGATCCATTGTGATTGCGACTACGCCTGGCTGCGCAACTGGCTGGACGCCCATCCTTATCTGCTCAGTGATCGGGACGAAGGTGAACTGTACGTTATCGGCAACCGTCTGAGTAACCGCGTATTCAGATCGACAGCTTTCTATGCCGTTGACTGCGCTTCGCCGACATTGTTTATCGAGCAGGGAGAGTTTAAAGACAGAACCGGTCTCAGATTTTCTGTTAACGCTCATTGCAAATAAGGTCAGAAACTTGGAATATGGTATATTGACCTTACGTGTACTCATACCTGGTACGATTTAACGTTAACAGTTTCTCGTTATCGATACTATTAAACGAAAAATTAATAAAGCTTGAGCTTAAGAGCCATGAGATTAAAAGCAGATTACATACATACGAGGATGCGCGCAGTCGAACCGACAGTAAATTTTTTCAGCGAGACCAACCGACAACCACGCTCACAAGTGGATTATTTTTTCACATAACAGCCACCCGTGGAAGGGACGTATTGTTTGCACTGTATGCGTGATACAGGTGACAGCCATCCGTGGATGGTTGGCAGTCGCTTGCACTATGTGCACGGTTGTCGGTTGGTCTCGCCGAAAAAATTTACTGTCGGTTTGACTGCGTGCATCCTCGTACGGTAATTATTGCGGCTGATTATCCAGATACTGTAGCAGCTGCAAAAGCTCCTTATTAGCCATATGAAGTATACATGCATTTCTGCGCATTAGTCCAGCTGCTGGCGATCAAAATTAAAAAAATTAATTAATTGTCCGGAATGCGTGTGCACGATTGAAAGAAAACAATTGTTGCCTTGGAACGTTAGTCTCTTTAATGGGCGTTACACAGCTTGAATTAACACAGAAAATTGAGTAATTAATCAAATTTTATTCGGTAATAGGTTATCCTAATTTAATATTAAACCGGTATCCACGGTCAAAGTAACGGTATGGGCGTGACACTGTACAGTTCGGCTTACATTATTGTAAATAAATCTTAAATAGATATTAATTAGCTTGTGACCACTCGCCCTCCGACGTCATTTTACTCCCCAGCTGCACCTTCGCGGCCTCTCTGGGGTCCTTAGTCTGGCTGCGCTGCTGTCAAAGGCATCAACCAGGATAATCAATACTTAATCCAGTTATTTTGACATGCACAAATACGACCACAAATTCTGCAAAATTAAGAAGATGGTGTTTCACAGAAATTACATTACGACCCCATAGCCGCGCTTAAACTTAACTCGTACTTTAATTTGCTAATAATTCACATGATTTTACGGTTTTATTATTGAAACCCGAATACCTCTAATATACCAAACTCAACTTTTCACGCAAACCAGTGACACCACATGACACAAGCACTTACACTGCGGGAGCATGAATGCTGCATAAAGCTAATGTCGTGTGATTAATCCTGATTCCGTGCCCGCATATGACTTTGCGCCCACGCAGACCTTTCTCACATTAACCTTGACGTAATCCGGACTCTGATTCCCTATGAAATCCGAAGTACTGCATTGTCTTGTCCAACTAAGTTAATCATGGTTTTAATCATGACGATTATTTTATTAAAAGATAGTGCCGGCGTCTTTCATGCATAACAGTGGGTCGATCAAACCGTCATTGCCATGAGAGTCCCCAGTACCAAGTTTAAATTCTTTTATCAACGTGCGAAAATGCCCCACAATTCTTGTGACAGTATGAACACCACTGTGCCTTTCCGCACTCGATTTTACTTATATAACAACTGGACTTCCATCCAAATTGCAACATGCACTTTATGCGTTATGGTATACGTTACCAACGGATTTCTTCTTCATCTTTACCGCACCAGGGCTTCACTGCGGACACCGTTCAGTGTTTACGTCATTTTTGTTGCTGCCGCCAACATCCTGCAGAATATTATCATCAATCCAGTAATCATGACCTTAAAGGACGCCTTTCCGCTTTCCTGGAGTTCGGCGTTTTGTCTGATCAAAAACTATCTGGGTGTGGTGGGAGGGGCCGCATTACCGGTGACCCATATGTTTATTAATCTGAATCGCGGCTGGGCCATTGCATTTCCGGTGCATTACAAACGACACCATTCCAGTAAATTTGGTGGGATATTTTGTTCAGCGGCATTTATTCTAATTGGGATTTGTGCTTTGCCGGGCATCGCTATTGATGGATTGCATCGCACCGAGGATTTGAATTCCATGTGCCGACTTAGTACTTCTCCAGTCGTTACAACGTGGATCAGTTGCATGTCGATAACGTTCTTCATTACACCGCAGTTTATTATCGTTTTGTCGTATCCGTTCTTCGTTTACCGGCGTCTGCGATGGCGGCGACGTATCCAGGTGAAGATTCGCTTGGAAAAATTGGATGATCGGTCTTGTCGCGACTTGAGCACGCCGCCGACAAATAAAGTCGCCGTGGAGCGCATTAATATTAAGATATCATCGCGATCTTTTCGCATACTGACCTTGCTGACGTTAAGCATACTGGTATCGTGGACGCCGAATAATGTTTTTTATCTGTTCTTTCGATATTTTCGTAATGATATCGTGTTCCGTATTGGTAATTATTTTAAGCTGGTCCAAGCTATATTCGATCCAGTTATGTTTCTGATAGCGCTACCGGATTTGCGCTTTGCTTGTAGCGAAATTTTTGGAAATGCGAAATATCTACTTCGTCGCTAACGAAGTAGCTGTAGAGCATTGGTGGATAACTAAATAACAAAATTGCATGATCTGCCTTCTTCTGGTCTTACCCAGGGAGCAATTGTACAGAATAAATACAGAGTCATTTGACAAACGTTAGAAGAGTGGCGTTTAATTATTACTTACCTATCTGTACAGAACTGGTAAATGTATAGAAGCTTTTAGTGAATGCATAAATTTTGTAATTTGTGCACTGTATGCACGACGTGCACATTTTACAGAGTAATGTACGAACACAGAATGATATTTTGCAAGACTTGTACAGATACGAGCAAAGAAACGATCCGAGCAGAGGGTACAGATACGACTGATTTTAAGTTTTTAACAGGTTTAACCGATTTATCGTGCAACAACAAGCAGTTTCAATCAGCTTCCACAGATTGCAGTATAGAATTAAAACTACTTCTAGCGGTGGTTGCGAACCACATTATTGCACGAGCGCGAGCGCCAATACCACTGGAAAATGGTATTGGGGTTGTGGAATTGGAAAAGCGTGACGTACGCTCTTCGTGGCATCAGGGGGCCTTTATGGGCCTAGACTCCAACTCTGACTCTGACTCTGATTCTGACCACTCAAACTCTGACTCTGACTACTCAAAGTCTGACTCTGACCGCTCAAAGTCTGACTCTGACTCTGAAGGTTTCTTAGGTTTCTTAATAGGTTTCTTAGGTTTCTAAGGTTTCTTAGGTCTCTTAGGTTTCTTAGGTTTCTTAGGTTATTCTTAGGTTATTCTTAGGTTATTCTTAGGTTTCTTAGGTTTCTTAAGTTTCTTAGGTTTCTTAGGTTTCTTAGTTTTCTTAAATTTTTTAGGTTATTCTTAGGTTAGGTTATTCAGTCAGAGTCAGAGTCAGAGTTTGGACAGTCAGAGTCAGACTTTGAGCGGTCAGAGTCTGAGTCAGAGCTTGAGCGCGCGCCAATTTTAGGCTCTTGACGAAGACTTATTGCAACACCTCGCGTTTCGCGCTCGGTGCAAATTACACCACGATACAACAACCACATATTTTGCATTCTTCACGGAGCTTATTCGCACCTTCCCTCTCAAAAGAATTCCTTCTTTGGCTGGTATAAGTGCCTAGCCGGAAACGGAGTAACACTTTTAATTTGCATCAATATTATGGAAAGGAGGTTATCATCGCGCTTGCTGCCCTTCCTAGTCAGTGTACACCTACTATGGAATTTCTCAGCAGGTCAGTCGTGTAACCGGGTCTGGTCCGGGTGTTCGTTTTTAAACCAGCAGAAGCGATCGCGACAAGATTTTACCGATAGAAAGTTGTAGCTCGTTTTGTCGTAGCTCAAGGTGACTTCCCTGCATTCGACGGCCTACCCATAAGCGAAGCGGAATGCAATAGATGTAATTATGTTTTTCAACAGTAACGTACATTTAGCTTATACACGACAGTTAACATCACAACGCAGTACACTCAATCAGCAGAAAACAGCCTCGGGAGGTCTAAGAACAGAGAACAACTGATCTAAATTTGCTCCCGGTGGAGCTGTTCCCTGAACGGAGGCCGCGTTCCCGCGCTGGATTTCTATGCTGATACGTTGGCGCAGGTATTCCGGTGCTCTTGCCTCGCCAGTTTCTTGCCGTACCCTTCTACCCACTTCCGTCAGCAGGCGGGAAGCTTCCGGTCCGTTTGGTCCTAGCGTTTCAAAGCCCAGAGCGCTTAACAGGTAGTCCGGGGTGATGTTCTGGTACTTGGTTACCTTATCCTGTTCAGCCTTTGCCGCCGCTGCACCAGCTCGCTCGGATGTTGCCACGATATGCGATACTGCCACCGTACAGACGCAGGTGACATCCCACGTTAGCATTCTTCCTCTTTCCCACGGTGCTAACGTAACGCCATCCGGGCGTTGGCCATTCTGTCTGACATAAGCCCACTGGTTCAAGCTCTGTTTCAATTCCGGCTGATGCGAATGCTCGTTTACAGACAGCATTCAAGCTGCTGTGTCTGGGCTTTCTGCCTCGACTTTTCTTGCAGCTGAGGCCATGGTAGCCTCGGGCGTCCACCCAGTCCCCGCAGATGCAACGGTGCGGAGTGACGATAGCAGCTCCAAGGCGTAGCCCAACAGCGATTCTCAGGGCAGAATCTGTCAGCAGGTTACCAAGTGATGCTGCCGGTAACGCCTCTAGCCAAGCCCATTCTCTTTTGTTCTCACGCCGCGCAGCCGAGCTTGACTGGATAGGTCATCCTGGACTTCAACCCGCAACATTTCCACAGCTTCCGCGATTAGAGGTTCATCCCACACTTTCTGTAGGTTGCGAATATTGACATCCGGCGCATCCCTTTTTGTAATTGCCTGCCATTGCTCTACTGCCGCGCTGCAGTACTCATCAGGGTGAAAGTCCGCAGTCTCGGATGCCAGCGTCGCGATTGAGTAAGCCGAGGCCAGAAAGGCCGGAAGGGCTAGCTTCTCAATGCTGCGAATTCCAAGACCGCCCTCGGAGATCGGCAGCGATGCCTGCGTCCACATTTGGTCATTGATGGCAACGTTTGTAATCGTGCAAAGGCTTTCCCGGATTACCGCGTCGAATGCTTGCAAAAGGCCGCTATGCATGTAGCATCAACCCGTACGTAGTTTATACGTCACCCTGACTGGTCCCATGCTGCATCTTAAGAGGTACAACGCCTGGTGTGCTGG